ACGGCCCTTCCCCGCCCCAGCAGAGTTCCCCTTCCCCACCGTGGCCGCCACTGCGCCGCCCCCCAGGACCAAAACCAGGCTGGTGTCCGAGGGCAGGAACGTGACCTTCCGCTGCGGCCGGAAGATCGCCCACAAGAAGGGCAAAGTGCAGTGAGTGACCCCCCGGTGGCGCGGGCGGCGCGGACCCTGCCCAGCCCTCGCCCTCGCGCCCTGCGCCTCCCTCCGCAGCTGGTACAAGGACCAGGAGCCCCTGGAGTTCTCCTACCCCGGCTACCTGGCGCTGGGCGAGGCGCAGCTGAGCATCGTGGCCAACGCCATCAACGAGGGCACCTACACCTGCGTGGTGCGCCGGCGGCAGCGCGTGCTCAGCACCTTCTCCTGGCGAGTCCGCCTGCGCGCCTGAGCGCCGCTCCCATAAAGCGCTTCCTCCTCCCACTTCCTCGCACTTTCTCTCGCTCTTGGCTCCGCGCCCTTTCTTGGAGGGCGGTGACCGGCCTCGCGCCTCGTGGGGTGGGGCCGTCTAGACCGGGTGCTGCTGCGTGTGGGGAGCCTGGGGCCAGGGCGCCCCAACTCCCCCCCGGTCCCTTGGGGTGCAGACACCGTCCGCCGAGACCAAGATGCCAAGGGGGGGCTTTTCCAGGCGGGTCCTGGAAAGAGGGCGAACGAGGCCCCGGTGCCATCTCCCAGGGGAGCGGACTGAGCTGGTGGAGGGGTTTCGGGGCGTCTGGGGTTTGCTCGGGGAGGAGCGTGGGCTCCTGCGGCGCGAGCCCGCTGGGGGTTGAGGCAGGTGAGCAGCAGAGCATCGCTGGGGACCGGCGGTGGTGCCCACATTAGGGGCTAGTTTGCTGCCTGAGGGACGCCCTGTCCAGTTGGAGCAGGAGCTGGAGGCCAGGAAGAGGCCGGCCACGTGGGGCCAGCGACCAGCCACACTGGGTGGGCATCAGTGGGGCCCCGGATCCCTGGCAGGCAGCACACGCAGGGACCGGGCTCAGGGCCGTGGGAAGGACACACCCGAGCTCTCCAAGAATCTCTCACATCCTCGTATAATACGCACTGTGGCCACCGCACACCTGGCTCAGGGGAATCTGGGGACCCTGGGGCTATGGATGCCCCAGGCAAGGGCAGGAAGGTGCCCAAGCTGGAGCCTCAAGATTAGAAAGCAGAAAAATCCCCGCAGGACTGTGTGAAATCATGGCCAGTATCTGACCAGCACAGCCCTGTGGTCACCGTGGTCCGGGGGGATTGTACCCTCGACACTGGCCACCTGTGGACACCCCCTTTGCTCCTCCTGGGGCAAGTGAGACACATCAGGGAAAGGACAGCCTTTTCTTCCACAAGGAAATAAGATTTAATTCTACAAATTTACAAGCCGAGATAAGACAGAAATGAAATGTGAAAACGGAACAAGACCAGCCCAACACTATTCTGCAGCCCAGGCTGCAGCAGCTGCCTCGTCGGGGCAGGACCTGGGTCTGACCCAGAGGCTGCCTCCAGCTCGTGCCCCTGGTCCCCGCTGTTGGTCTGGGGTCCACTCTGAACCTCAGAACTTGAGGCTGAAGCCAGGGCCTGCAGCCGAAGCCCCCTGGTTGGTGGTGGTGAGGTGGAAGCCGGTTTCCTTCAGGTCATCGTCACCCTGGGAAGCAAGTGGCACTGTGGGGCCCCGGCCAGGCCNACTTTCTCTCGCTCTTGGCTCCGCGCCCTTTCTTGGAGGGCGGTGACCGGCCTCGCGCCTCGTGGGGTGGGGCCGTCTAGACCGGGTGCTGCTGCGTGTGGGGAGCCTGGGGCCAGGGCGCCCCAACTCCCCCCCGGTCCCTTGGGGTGCAGACACCGTCCGCCGAGACCAAGATGCCAAGGGGGGGCTTTTCCAGGCGGGTCCTGGAAAGAGGGCGAACGAGGCCCCGGTGCCATCTCCCAGGGGAGCGGACTGAGCTGGTGGAGGGGTTTCGGGGCGTCTGGGGTTTGCTCGGGGAGGAGCGTGGGCTCCTGCGGCGCGAGCCCGCTGGGGGTTGAGGCAGGTGAGCAGCAGAGCATCGCTGGGGACCGGCGGTGGTGCCCACATTAGGGGCTAGTTTGCTGCCTGAGGGACGCCCTGTCCAGTTGGAGCAGGAGCTGGAGGCCAGGAAGAGGCCGGCCACGTGGGGCCAGCGACCAGCCACACTGGGTGGGCATCAGTGGGGCCCCGGATCCCTGGCAGGCAGCACACGCAGGGACCGGGCTCAGGGCCGTGGGAAGGACACACCCGAGCTCTCCAAGAATCTCTCACATCCTCGTATAATACGCACTGTGGCCACCGCACACCTGGCTCAGGGGAATCTGGGGACCCTGGGGCTATGGATGCCCCAGGCAAGGGCAGGAAGGTGCCCAAGCTGGAGCCTCAAGATTAGAAAGCAGAAAAATCCCCGCAGGACTGTGTGAAATCATGGCCAGTATCTGACCAGCACAGCCCTGTGGTCACCGTGGTCCGGGGGGATTGTACCCTCGACACTGGCCACCTGTGGACACCCCCTTTGCTCCTCCTGGGGCAAGTGAGACACATCAGGGAAAGGACAGCCTTTTCTTCCACAAGGAAATAAGATTTAATTCTACAAATTTACAAGCCGAGATAAGACAGAAATGAAATGTGAAAACGGAACAAGACCAGCCCAACACTATTCTGCAGCCCAGGCTGCAGCAGCTGCCTCGTCGGGGCAGGACCTGGGTCTGACCCAGAGGCTGCCTCCAGCTCGTGCCCCTGGTCCCCGCTGTTGGTCTGGGGTCCACTCTGAACCTCAGAACTTGAGGCTGAAGCCAGGGCCTGCAGCCGAAGCCCCCTGGTTGGTGGTGGTGAGGTGGAAGCCGGTTTCCTTCAGGTCATCGTCACCCTGGGAAGCAAGTGGCACTGTGGGGCCCCGGCCAGGCCAGGCCCCCCTCAGGGACACTCCCCCACACCTTCCCTCCCCTGCCAGCCCGCCCCTCACCAGCTGGCTGTAGCCCAGGCCTCCCTCAGGGGGTCGCGGGCTGGTGCCACGCTTCACCCTTTGCTGTTCGCTCTTGGCAGGCCACGTGGGGAACATCGAGGGGTCGATGGGGAGGGGGGTCTCGCGGAAATACTCGTGCTTGAGGCCATCCTCTGCACTGACCCTCCGCCCAGGGAAGTAGGTCAGGAACCTGGGAGAAAAGGCACTTTGAGTCCTCTGCTAGGGAGGGCGGGGGACACGGACTGGGGAAGGGGCGGTTCTCCCCCACCCCGCCTCACTTGTTCATGAGGTCAAAGCCCTGGTCTGAGAGCAGGGCGCCGAAGCGCTTGCGCAGGTTGTTGTAGGGGTACTCGGTAAAGGTCATCTTCTTCACAGCGGGGAGCTCGTTGTAGCCAGGCCAGATCTTCTCGCTGGGGGTCCCTAGGTCCTGAAAGAGGGATGTCTCAGAACAGCCATGCCCAGCACGACACCCCCCAGCAAGGGGCCCTTACCAACCTTAAACACTTTGTTGATCTGATCGATTTCAGACTTCCCGGGGAACAGTGGCTTCTGGGTCAGCAGTTCCCCAAAGATGCAGCCCACAGACCACATGTCCACCGCTGTAGAGTACTCCTGGGGACCAGGGACATGCTCAGGGGGCCAAGCAGGGTGAAGTGGGCAGGGTAGGGAAGGCCCCCCACAGCTCAGCACCCACCTTGGCACCCAGGAGCAGCTCCGGGGCGCGGTACCACAGGGTCACGACGACAGGGGTGTAGGCCTTCAGGGGGGACCCGTACTCCCGCGCCAGCCCAAAGTCTCCCACCTGCAAGGACAGCATGTGGTGAGCGGGCCCACAGCTGGAAGCCAGGCGCCCCAAGTGGCTGTAGGCTCACCTTGAGGATGCCGGCGTGGCTCAGCAGCAGGTTGGATGTCTTAAGATCGCGGTGCAGGATCCAGTTGTCATGCAGGTGCTTCACGCCGCACAGCAGCTGGATCATTAGGGTCTTCACTTCCCCTGGAGGGCGAGGGGCATGGTGCACTCACCCTGGGAACACCCAGTGTGGCCTCACATGCACACACGCATGCACTCAGTGTGCCACGGTGTCACCAAGTCAGCACTCTTCCCTCCTCCCATCCCCAGGACAACGCCTTCAGCCCGGACTGCCCGAGGGGGCAAGACAGTCCTCAGGGGGACACAGGCCCCTCTATGGGACTAATGCAGGGCTACAGGAGGCCCTGCCCACCCACCTGGCAGAAAAGGCTGCTTCATGGTCTCCATGAGGCTCTTGAGGTCATGCTCCACATAGTTCATCACGATGTAAATCTTGTCCATGTTGCTGCCCACGACAATCTCCTAAGAAAGACCAGGTCCGATGGCACCAGGAGTCCCTACTCCCACGGTGACCACCAGCTCCCTGGGAAGCCTGAAATCCTAGGGCGAACACGGTGCCAGCAGGGACCCAAGAGCAAGGACTTGAAGTGCCTGACATTTCTGGAGGCCAGACCTCATTTCTGTGCTGAGTGTGCTAACCCTTAGGGGCCCTGGCCCAGGCGGGCAGCCTACCCGCACGGTCACGATGTTTGGGTGCTGCGCCTTGAGGATGGTGTTGATCTCCCTCAGCGAGGTGATCGGGAACCCCTCCTTCTCCTTCTCCATCTTCAGCCGCTTTAGAGCCACAATTTCATCTGAAAACCAGGGAAAGACAATGATGGGAAACCTTCCCAACAAGGGGCTGACCAGGAGCATCCGCTGTCTGGCAGCACGAGGTCCTGCTCTGACCAGAAGCTCAGACGGCAGCATCAGGAAGCCCAAACTGTGGTCCACTAGGAACACGAGGCCCAGTTCAGGACGAGCCTTGTGCAGAACCGCCAAGGAGGGCCTCCCACTGCTCTGCATCCCTGCTGTGACCACGGCAGACAAAACAGACCTGGGACACCCCAACACAAACATTCATCAGGGACTTGGAGGCTCAGCCACTCCGAACTTCTGAGACCCAGCCAGGCTCACCGAGGGAGCTGTGACTCCCACACCTACTCAGGTGCAGTCACTCAAGGCTGATGCCCCAGCAGCTCCTAGGCCCTCGCCTGACTCTACCCTCCCCTGTGAAGCCAAGTCACTAACTACTAGTAGTCTCAGGGTCAGTCTGACCTCTGACCTCTGCAGGTGCTGAGGGTTCAACGGCTCTGATGTGTCACCTGACAGTCATTACCTGGTGCAGGCCAGGTAGGGCAAGGCTGCAGCCCAACACCAGGGAGGGCAACTCCCAGGATCACAGGGCGCACTATGTATTCCATGACCTTGAGGGTGAAGGTGCCAGGAGCCAGGACGGCCAAGGCTTGGATCCCAGCCCCCTGCACGTGGCCAGAACACTGGCGGGAAATCCAACCTCTCTCCTAGAGCTGGCTTGGGTGCCGCACGGGCTGTGCGCGGCGAACAGGCCTGAGTATGCAGAGGGGCAATACTCCTCTGGTAACCCTGTCCCTGCCCCAGACTCCTCTTCCCTTTGGGGGCCACCCGAGACCCTACTCACCTGTTTTCTTGTCCTTGGCTCTGTATACCACCCCGTAAGTGCCCTCCTCAATCCTGTTCAGGCACTGGAACTCCTCCACACTCCGGCAGCCCTGGGAGGGAGCACCAGCATGAGGCATGGCATCCATGGGTGCAAATGACCCCCACTCAAGATCTCAGGAAGGATCCGAGTGCTGGGTGGTGGGGCAGAAACCACCCCTCCTCCTATATTCTTCAGTGGGCAGATGCCCCTTCATTATGAAATAAAACTAAGGTGGACAAAAGCCGGTCCCAGGCACGTCCTCTGGAGCCAGGCCCGCCCTGTGCTCTGGGAAAAAACGGGACCAGCCCCACACCGTCCCTCTGCACGTGCCCTGCCGGGCTAGAGAAGTCCACTCTTGGGTACGGGGGCCGCACGCTGGGCTGGATTGCCATACACTCCGTGTGGCATGTAGCCAGGGGCACACTGCTCAGAAGCCCCACCTGGCAGAGCCACTAAAGCAGCTGGGACAGCCGAGGGGCACTGTGACTGCCAGAGTCCCACTGCCCCAGGCACCCAGACGGAGCTAGGAGGCCTCAGTGGTGTTCTGGGCAGGCCACTTACCCCTCAGAACCTGCTCCTTCCCAAACCCTCCCGAACCCCCGCGGGTCCCCAATTACTGATATTTTCCCAAACAAAATATATAAAATGTGCACTGATTCCTGCCACAGCCCTATGACCCCTGCACAGCAATGGCAGATGTGACCACTAAGCCGGCCACTCACCAGGCTGTCTGCCTTCCACACACGGGCACCCCATGGGCTTCGTGGCTGGGGCCTTGCGAGGTGTGCTCCCAACAGTGCTGCTGGGCAAGAGGCCAGACCACAACCATGGACATGAGAGAGGCCGGTGGCCAAGCCAGGCTAGTGACGTTCATTAAACTCAGGTGACAGACCCCCCCCCCC